ACTTGGGGCTGTCTAAATGGAATGACTACCTCTGGAAGAAATGCGTTCACCATCACTGCAGGAATTTAAGGAGAGTCTGGAAGATCACTTTGCGGGGAGGTTGAGAAGCTAGTCAGTCAAGATTTTCTCCAGCCTTAGAGTATAAAACATCAACATAAGCTGCTCTGCCAGATCCAGTGTTCTTTGTTCCCATGGATCCTACAGTAGAACTGCATCTCATTATTCATCCAATACATTTATTGAGCCCTGCCCTGGACCAAGCACTGTGCAAGTCCTATAGGGCATGCGAAGATAATTCAGGTAATATACTGCACTGCTGAGGGGTAAGACAGGAACGTGACAGCTACCAGGTAGTTAGTAATAAGTGACATAGAAGAATTACAGGAAAAATACCAAGAAAGGTTAGAGGAGAGAGAGATGATGTCCAAGTTTGCAGAGCAAAGATAAGCACTAATAAGGGTTTTCTGGAAGAGATGAAGGTGAAGCAGCACCCTGAAGAAAGGCAGGGGTGCAAGAGGGAAAGTTAATTACTTCAAAGACCCTTCCATTCGTGCTATTCCCAGTGCTTCCCTAAATAGCTGAGGACACCATGACAATGAGCACATTAAGCAAATCAGGCAAGGGCCAATGGGGTACCGCCTGCCATCAGAATTTAGAGCAAACAGGTCTAACAGGGGTTCACACCGCATGTGGAATCAGGATCACATTATGGTTTCTTTGGGTGTCAGGCCAACTGAAGGCATTCTATGCGATTTCAATGGCAAGACCAAGATCTAAAAAGTCATCAGGTTACACAAGACTTTTGCTGTGTGAACACTGGTTGAAATTTTGGTTCCAATGACAAATACTCATGTAACATAATGCTGAGTGTGTATGTACTTTTATCCACTTGATCTGGCAGATTGTTTGGTTGAACAATGTACTAACATCTGAACATCAGAATTCAGTAGCAGCTTTTAATTTTGACTACCAGTGAAACTTTACCTTTGGCTCTTTGGAGGAATTGCCCAGTGGCAACTCATATGAGATGTCAGCCTTTTCACATTACCACTGTCTGGGCCCCCTTTTCAACTAGTACAGGATTCTTAGTACATCTTCTAAGATTTGAGAGTTCAGTCATGAGTCTGGTAGCTCCTCAATGATATATCTCAATGAGACTTATTATCACCCCATTCCAGTGCAAGTAATTATTTTTTAAAACAAGTCTCCAATTCTTTGCTATGCTTGAGTACCTGACATTTAAAATAACCTTTTTTCCAGTATTTGGCATTATGCCATTAACAATGAAATGATTAATGATGCTTACATAGGGTAACCTAAGTATCTTGTTTAAAATGCAGACCTCCTTGTGTTACCAAATTTATGAAATGATTAATATAGTATAGAAAATGCAGTAATATGTTTTGTAGCTGTCATGCAAAAATAGTACTTTGATTGATTCTAGGAACTTATGGCATAGAAATACTAATAATATGAAAGTATGAAAAAAATAGAATTGTAAGGTCTTGAGATTATTTTAATGAAATAACTACCAAAAGAATCTATGCCCCTGACAGGGCCCATATCAACAAAAGGGACAGTGACCACAGATTTACTATTCCCAGCACTCACACTGCCTCAATAGTTTTGACACTTCTGTTTATAGAGACCTGGCATCCATTATATTTTATACTAACCTAATAAGGTTTATAGCTGATCTAGTCTGTGAAAGACTTTTTTGTCTCTGGTTGTAGCCTTATGAATCTGTATGCAAGAAAGGCATGTGACCAATCAATATCAAAAAAAATTTGGCCCTATCTGGTTTGGCTCAGTGAATAGAGTGTTGGCCTGTGGACTGAAGGGTCCCAGGTTCTATTCCGGTCAAGGGCATGTACCTTGGTTGCGGGCACATCCCCAGTGGGGAGTGTGCAAGAGGCAGCTGATCAATGTTTCTCTCTCATCAATGTTTCTAAATATCCCTCTTCCTTCCTCTCTGTAAAAAACCAATAAGATATATATATATTAAAAAAGGTTGGGGTTCTTTGGGTTTGTTTTTTATAAAACACTGTTAGCAGAGATATACATTTAAATTTTGGGTCCCTAAATAAATTCTGCAAAATGTTATTTGTTCTCAGACTCACTTTTTTATTTTATATTTTGGGAGGCCTGCTATGATGTGAACATTGAGATCTCTTAGATCTCATATTCATTCCTCTATTATTCAAGTAAGAAAAAATCAACACAGAAATGCATGGATATTATCCTAAGTCTAACATAGGGGGGAAAACCTGATATCTATATCATAATTGCTCCTAAGGAGTGTGGATCGTCTTCCCTGGCAGTATTTATTGAGTACCTGAATAGATTTGTTTGTGTGTGTTTGGAAAATGAGCTGAGGAATGCTGAACCTTTTAGCAAAATGAGATTGGATTATTTAAAATTTCTAAGGAAATATAGGAAGGTGGATATGGGAAACAAAAGAGGAAAAGAAGAAGGGGAGCTCAGAAGAATGTAAAACAATGCATGAACCTTGGACTAAGACAGAATTCCTCAATGACAGGAAACTACAAAGAATTTTTGAGAAGAGGGGTGTGTAATATGGATATTCACACTTTTGAATGAGTTATGCATTCTCTCCTTAACTGTCAGCTCACCCTTCAAACCTAGTAAATGCACAAATGCTTTGAGTGTGTGAAAACCAACCAATATCAAGGGCCCACTCTGAATTAATTGCATGAGCAACCAAGCCAGCACATGTGGAAGCAGGAGACCAGCAATCAGACAAGACCACGAAAAGATAAAACCTGAGAACTGACCACAATCATGCAAAGACACAAAATTATTGTGCAGCAGCGAGCCTTTCCCACACGACATCCCATTTTGCATATTTCCAACTAAATCTAAATATTCTTATTCAGAATGTTCATTGATGTGATAAGAAAGGAAGCCATATGTATGGGCTCTGGTTTCAGAGAGATTGAAAACTAATAATAAAAGCTTTATACCCTAAAACATTAGAAAATAATACATAACATGAATAATATGATGGAATATTCTATTTCTGCTAACCCCACATTACTTCCCCAACCAAAAGTTAAGAAAATCTTATTCCAATCTGTAGAAAGAGGAAAGATGGTGTTACTAGAAATGTTTCAAACTCTGCTCCATAAGTTGTTCCTCTCCTTGGAGAGAGAGAAATAAATCAATTTGGTGAAATGTGTAAGAGCCTAACTTGCATTAGGTCATGTTGTCAGTGGGAGTCATTTTGGGTCAAAGTTAGGAGGGTCTATGCTCTTCCTTTGCTGCCTCTGGGTTCTGCCTCTTCATTAGGCCTGGGCTTCCAGTTTCCATGCAGTAAGCCCCTCAGATGTTTGGCACAGCATCTCACTGTGACAAGATGGATAAATTCAATCTGCAGGAGAGTCAAAAGGCCTGCCTGTATCTATCTTCAATCCATGCACACACTTGAATGAAGTCAGTAGCCCATGCTCATGTGGCATTGTTTTTGTAAACTCTCAACCAGATCCAGGGGAGACCGCACCATGAATCTAATCCCTAAAACGAATACAGAATCAAACCTACATGACATTAAGATTTTCAAATGATTAGTGCAGACAATAATCACTGAGGAAAGGGCCTGGGAAAGGTGAAGAGAGTCGGGAAGTGAAAAAGTGAATCATGCAAGTTATTGCAAAGGAAAAAATCCATAGCCTGGGCGATTGATTAGATAGGGGGCAAATGGAGGGTGGAGCATGGAAACTCAACAAGTCAGAGATGCCACCCTGTGAATCTCTGTAGTCTGATTTTCTAAGTTTGCAAAGTTCCTCCAATCATATATGATACACTAATTAAAGTATTTGAACTCCCTAACTTCTAGTTTTTATTTAATTCTACTATGGTTTCAGGCATAGATTTGTTCACAGTTCTTGACTACACCCCCAGTTTGTCTGCTGAGCTCCATATCTATATTTCAAAGCTATTCCTTCACCATTTTAGCTACTGATTGAACTAGTATTCAAAAATGTAAATATCAAAATTATTTCCCTACTTAAAACCTTAAATGGCACTCTAGGATAGACTCCAAAGTTATGAGTTTGAAATAATGTACTTTAAAACCTAGTCCAGCATGACTTCCCACCCTCATCTCTAGCCACTTTCCCCAGTATCCTGGCCACACTGGGCTCCTCATTGCTCCCTGAACACACCCTGCAATGGTATAGCTCTCCTCCTGACTAATGTCGTTCCTCTCTCTAAAATGTCTTTCCTGCTACCAAAAATCTGCAAATCTACTAAAGTTCAGCATTATTATATCACACTCTTGTTTCTCAACTCAAATCCCAATCAGAGCTAAGGACCTCACCAGTTATGAGGAGCCTTTTATATGTACACTATCATAAAAATAGGAGGGGCACTTACCTGGCCCCCACTCTTCACATTAACATAGTGCAGAGGGAGCTCTACATCTCAAGATGGTATCTCTACCCCCTCACCTATACATTCCCAAGGAAGAAAATATTGCTTTGATCCTGACCATGAAAAGAAGGAAAAGAAACAAAATAGTTCAGTTCTTTCCTCTGTTTCAGAATGCAAAATCTTCAGGACACCCATCTTTTCTTCTCATCTGTTAGTAAGTTTACAAGGAAGGTTCTGTCTTACAAGGCCTGGCGTTATGAGTCGATACTTTCAATTCACAGGTTAGGGGGTGGGACATATGAGAAGCAGAGTGTGGCGATAGGTCAAGCAACATTCGCTGATTCAACACTCTCAATAAAAAGCAGGTATTTTCCCCATCATCTGTTTGAAATCCTGTATGTACTTTTCTTTTTCCAAACTCAAGGAAATGAAGAGAAATGTTATTGATTGGCTCCCTTTAGCCCTAATTTAGCAGTCATAAGCTAGAAATGCAGAGTGACAAACCCTGGGCCACAATGTGTGCACTGCATAGAAACACAGGAAAGGGAAACAGTTTGAAAGCCCTGATGCCTGAGGAACTCTAAGCCACCTGGGTTTTGATCTCAGTGGTTTTCTGTGACTTTTTATTGTCACCCTGTGGCTGGATTTAAATTGTTGAGGGAATGTGGGGCTTAGTAATCATGGTCTGTGTGGTTCTCTCTGGCGACATTTGACCTCATACTGGCACAGCTAAGGTTTAAAGCAGGCCAGTGGGCCAGGAATTACATCACAAGTAAGAGAGTCTCTTTTGTTCCAATAAAGCTATCCTTAAAGTAGGCAGAGCTCTAGTGTCCGGGCCTTTTAGGCACTTGTGGGTAGTTCAAACTCAGCTTGTTTTATTGTGTTTGTCAATCAGATCGGCTGGCCGGGTCCCTGAAGTACAAAAGCAGTTACCACAGGCCACAGAATTTAGAGCAAGTCTCTCACCAGGTGTCAGTGATACGCAATGTGATGCCCCAGACTGCATTTCTGTATGTTGTTTTAAAGTGCAAGATTTAAAAAGAAAATTGTGGAAAAAACTAACCTATTCACTTCATGTAGCCTTTTCACATGTTTTTAAGAGTCATCCTCCAAACCCATGACCTCAAGGAGGCTATAATCACCTATTGAAATGACTAGGAAACTGGCTTTACATTTCGGAGATTTACTATGGCCTCACACACAGAAGGGATGTGGATGCTATTAACAAAATCTATAAGGTACCAGGGTTTCGTGAGTGAGGAAAACTAAACCATAAATGAAATGGCTGAAAACTCAGAGACTAAGAGGCAATGTAAAATGCCTGGGCCTGGAAATATTAAGAATCCTGTTTACTGGAAGCCAAGGAGGGGCTACCTTGGCTTACTGCACTTCAGCTTCGTGCCAGAACAGAAGCAATGGGAGGGTGGACAAACATAATGCTGAATACAGGGAGGAAATGTGTTTTCTTTAGATGGAATGTTGCGATCGTAGACTACATGCTAGACAGTTTTCAAAGAAAAAATAAAATCTTGAAGGCCAGCTAGAAAGATATGAAATAAAAATACCAACCTGGTTGAAGTGCTCATAAACAGGGTGCTTGAAGAGCAAGAGGGATTTTAGAGTTTACTAGATCAGATACCATAAAATCTAGTGAAATCTATAGAATAAGAGAGGCAAGATCTCAAAGAGCCATTGGGGAGGCTTCCCCAGAAGGAGCTATGACTCAGGAAACTATTGAGATGTATTCCCTTAAAGTTGCCTGTAGAGTCCAGAGGAAAAACTAGTGAGGAGTCACTTTTGAAGATCTGAACACTCTCAGGTGGATTACAGGAAATCAGACAGGTGAGTTTTAAAGAAATACAGCTATTATAACAGGAATGCAGCTATTGCCTATGACCTGAAGGCACATGCCCAGAAATTGATAGTAAAAAAGGGAAGATGCACTATAGCAAAGGGAAGGTAGGCAGGACAATGAGAACTTGCATTCAGACATGGTTCTGATGGGAGAATACATCCTCATCTTATATAGAGAAATTCAAGCATAGGTGCAGAGGCAAAATATGTCATAAGTGCAAATATCTGGGCCTGAAAACAGAGAACATTTACATCTACAAAGCATTTCATAAATAAAAAGGACTTCAGAGCCTTTTCCAATAAGTTCACTACCTAAAAAAAAAAAAATCAAATAACAAACAAAACAGGGATCTCAGGATAGATGAACATGAAAAAAGAGTAATTAACACTCTTTAACCTATGTCTATATCTATAACCAGAGTACCAAGGACCTCTTTCTATACAGATCTGAGACAAAAATAAAATTAAAAAGTACAAGCACAGAGGAATGGACAGTCATCAATTCAACAGAAATAAATAATATAGAATTTTTGCATGTCCAGGCAACATTTATAAAGTTCAAATATGTATCTGGGCACAAATAAAATCTTAAACATGTTTAATTTTAAAAGTAAAATTTTTAATTTTAAGATAATAAAACAATCATATTAGATAAAAATATTTTATTTACTTAGAAATTAAAAATCATAATTCTAGATTATATTTAGATAAAAAAAGGAAAAAATTAAAAAGAAAAATTTAGCTGAAACTTAAGGAGCACAGCAAAAGCTATACTCAATGAAAAGTATAACATTATATGCTTTCATGTAAAAAAAGGAAAACAAAAAAAACAATAATTTATTTCTAAATTAGACAAAAAAATGAACCAAAGGCCACTAGAATAATTAATTAAGCTAAAATTAATGAGAGCACACAGTAGCAAAATAAAAAAGTTTGTTTTTAAAAAGATTAGTAAAATAGATAAGTCTATCATAAGCACAATTAAGGGAAAATGATAATAAACAAAAATAATCAAGGTGTGAAAAGAGAAAGGAAACACACCAGGGATGCAGGAGCAATTAAGACCATATAAGGGAACACTGCTTAAAACTCTACAGCAACAACTTTGAGACTTAGACTTAGAGGAAGCTTTCCAAATCTTCCACCGCCTGCAATGGTTTAAATCAATATGTCTCAAACGCTAATGCACACATATATCACCTGGGATCTTGTTAAAGTGCAGGCTGTGTTTCATTAGGTCAAAAGGTAGATAAGACTTTGTATTAATTACTAATAAACTCCTAGGTAATACTGATACTGCTGATCCTAGGACCACATTTTAGTAGCAAAGGTTTAAGGCAGATGGGAATTATCTATTATTTAATTTTACTTTTAAAATTAAACAGGCTTGTTTGAATGCAGCTATAGCCCAGCCGGTGTGGCCAATGGTTAAGCATTGACTTCCTATGAATCAGAAGTTACAGTTTGATTCTTGGTCAAGGCACATGCCCAGGTTGTAGGCTCGACCCCCAGATAATCAGAATCAATCTCCCTCTCCGTTCCTTTCCAAAAATCAATAAAAATATATTTTTACAAAATAATAATAATAAATGCAGCTATAAATCCACTGACACTGATATGCTTTACAAAGTTAAACTTTTAAATATTTTCAATATATTTTACGGTAATTAGTTTACTCAAGTTTTTTAGCTTTTCTCGGGTTCACTTAGCAATTTATATTTTACCAGTACAACTGGCTACACACAATGAAGAAAATAAATTTCAACCTTATTACTCCAACTAAGAGAAGAAATTCCAGATAGAATAAAGGCCTAAAAATATAAACATCTTGGGGAGTTGGGAGGAGGAAAAAAAAGACCTTATTAAGCAAAATTGAAACTTTGGAAACTCAGCAATTATTAATGAAAATAAAAATATCTGTTTCAGCAAAACTTTTAATTTTTAGCATAAAAATTCACTAAGAAAGTCAACAAAAAACAGATTAGGGTAAAAAAAAATCTGCAACATACTGGAGTGAGGTTAATATCTATAATATACAAAGGTCTATTACAAAATTAAAGGGAGACCAAAAGCAAAACAAAAGCCTAGACTAGGGAAAAATTGGCAAAGAATATGAGAAATTCACAGAAAAGGGTATCCCCTGTGATGAAGAAACATGAAATTATGTTCAAACTCACTGATAAGCAATGAAATGCAAATTAAAGTAAAAATAAGAGATCTCTTTATACCTAGGAGACTGGAAAGAATTACAAACCTTGATTAATGCTCATTACTAGTAAAGGTTATAGAAAAAGATATATTCACACACGTTACTGGTATAATGTGAATTGTTAGAGCTTCTTGAGAAAAAAACCTGGCATCATTTACTAAAATTAAAAAGAACAGAAACAGTAATCACACTCCTGAAAAATCTATGCTATAAAATAAAGGCACCAACAGATAAGGATATTGAACAAACATTTACTTGAACATGTTCCCAGTGGCAAAATAAAGAAAGAAAATCTATGGGGGAAAAGTTGTATTCATTTTGTATGCTAGGTAACAAACTACCACAAATTGAGTGACTTGAAACAACATGTATTTATTATTTCATTAGAGGCCCGATGCACAAAATCCATGCAAGGGGCTTGGCCCTATAGCCCCGGCTGCCTTAGCCAGTCCTCACAGCCTCGGCTTTGTCCAGAAGGTCATCCGGAAGGACATCAGGAAGGTTGTTCAGCTGTCCAGTCTAATTAGCATATTACACTTTTATTATTATAGGTAGTTTCTATGGATTAGAACTTGAGGCACAGCTTAACTGGGTCCTCTGTTTAGGGTTTTATGAACTTGCAATTGAGGCTGCATTCTCATTTGACTGGAACAAACTGCTTCCAGTCTCACTCAATTTGCTGGCTGAGGTCTCTGGCTTCTTGCTGGTTCTTGGCTAGACACTGCCCTCAACTCTCAAAGGTCACCTATAGTAGACCCACAGTTCATGGCTAGATGGGCGTTTTCAACACCATCAAACCAGAAAGGAGAATCTCTAGAGTGGTTCGTTGAGCAAGATAGTCTTATAAATGTAACATAATCATGGGAGTGACATTCCATCACCTTAGCTGTATTCTATTGATTAGCACAAGTCACAAGGTCTTCCACACTTTCAAGGGGAGGAAATTACACAAAGGTGTGAACAGAAAGAATGACCATTATGGGTGGCCACCTAAAAGTCTGTACCTCCAGAAAGAAAAGTGATGCTTTGATTACTATCTCTCTGATCCCTTCACAATCATTCCTGGACTAGAAAGAGAAGAGGGGTGTTATATGCTGGCTCCTTTCAAATATAACATATATCACCTATTACAGCAATACAAGATACACTATTCACACACTAAAGTACGATCTCAGTACTGGCACAGTCTTCTATTTCTTAATGTAGACTGTGCCAGCACAAAGTAATAACTGTTCATTTTTGTTAAATAAACTCACCAATTCCATGATGAACTTTTAGCAGTTACATCAAAGTATTACTCTCAATTTTAAAAGTACATAACAACAGAAATTATCCACGAAAACTCAGGTCCTGAATCCTCAGAGCAACTAAATTCATAATACTTGAATCAATGACAAAAACAAGAAAATGTAACATTTTAGGGTATTGAAATCAGCATACAACTGAAAAGAACACTGGTTTCCACATGTCTATAGTCAATCAAATACCAAAATCTTTCTCCTTTCTTTATGAAATACAGCAAATTCACTTTCCTTATGTCTTTTTACCTGGATATCTAAGTTGAAAAACACTAAGAAGATACTGAAATAAAAATGATAAGTCTTTTAACCTATATTTAACAAAGGATCTAGTGACTTTAAATACTTGGTAAGTATCAGTCAACTAAAGAGCCTTTCATGTGATCTAAAAATAGCTAAGCAAACAGTGATCTGTCAGAATTAGAATTACTTAAAAAGAATAGGCTATGCTGTTTTAAATTCCTTTTCCGAAAACTGTTCAAGTTCTTTGTCCATTTTTCTTTGGAACTGTAGTGTTTTCCTTATCAGTTTGTGTCATTTCTTTATCTGGTAATGATAGAAGCCATTAGGCATCTCTGTTGCAATTGTTCTTCTAGTTTCTCACTCATCTTTTAATTTTATTTATAATGTGTTTAAACATATGCTATTGTTTTCATTGTTATATAGTTATATCAATGAGCATTTTCCATTGTTAGCTCTTCTATTATTTAATGCTTAGAAAATCATTTTCTGTCCAGATATTAAGTAAACATGCACTTGTATTTTCTTCCAGGTTTTTTATAGTTATAAGACATTGAGACTTAAGGGACAATATGACTAAATGAAACATTCCTCAAAAAACTAAAAATGGAGCCAAGACCAGTTTGGCTCAGTGGATAGAGCGTTGGCCTGCGGACTGGGGGGTCCCAGATTCGATTCCAGTCAAGGGCATGTATCTGGGTTGCGGGCACATCCCCAGTGGGAGATGTGCAGGAGGCAGCTGATCAATGTTTCTCTCTCATCGATGTTTCTAACTCTCTATCTCTCTC